AGTAAATTGTGATCTTCTTTTAATAAAAGTGTGCTATAAATTCTCAAAATTAGAGGTTTTAATGGTATATCATTAAAGTATAAAGTCTCATTAAGGCCTATACCAAGTTTGAGATCATAATTTTTAGTAGAACAGCTTCTAGAAGTGATTTTGTGAAAAGCTATCGCGCCACGTAAAAAGTCGAGCTGACAGCAAACAGTGTGCTCAGTGCGTCTTTGTCTGCCACACGAATGAAGCATACAAGCAGGAAACAAATTTGCTTACGTTTGTGCAAATATCTCCATAACTGCAGACGCGATTTTATTTGATTTATTTTATTGAAACTTTGCACGTATACAAATGAAGTTGTCATAAATAACATATCAGTTTTTCAAAACATTCTCATCGCTGTGTCAAGAGTAATAGGTATTTTTTTACAACTTTTTTGATAACTTACATTTGAGCCCATGTTAAAGACGACGAAAAAGGGACACTTCATGAATTTTTTTTTCTCGAAATCTGTAGACGCGATTGTGCTCAAATTTGGTGACTACATCCACGCAATGTTTTTTCAAAACATATATTTAAAAAAAAAAATTTTCATCGTTAAGTGAATTGCAACCCAACTCCCTTAATAATAAGGTTAATATTAAGGTTTAACGTGATAAGGTGATTGCTGTAAGCAAATTTAAGAGAAGGGTACAAATTAAAAAAAAAGCTGTAGAGGGAGATGGGGTGAAATGAGTGCTTACACACGATAAGTCAATGGAGCTCTAAAAGGCTTGTCGACTCCGTTGTATACAGGCAAACAGACACACACACAAGCCCTTTCCACAGCTCTCTTCTGACTCTAGAGTCCTACAGCAGTAAATGAACTGAGGCTTTGAGAGGATCGTTCCAGCTGATGGGGTGCGAACACAGCCGAAATATTCGTGCATGGAATTGCGCGCAAGAGGATTCTAGTGTCGTGATCGTCGTAACGAGAGAATGGGGAAATTAAAGAATTTGAATACTCGTGTGTGAAAAACAAAGCGTAAATCGTATATGACTGTACAGTGTCGTCAAACTGTGGTGCAGAGTTGACTTAGTGAGAGAAAAGAGAGAGGGAAGAAATTCTGGCCTTGGGTTCGTTTTTCAAGAACTTTGAGCAAGATTTTAATAATTATTTTTCTTTTTTTTAAAAATTATTTTCTCATCTCTTTTCACCGTGAATAGGACAATTAGCGAAAGTAAAAGGCAACGATGATGAATGAAGATTTATGAGAGCCAGCGTCTAGACTAAACTTTTTTTTTTCTCTCTCTCCGTCGGATTAGAGGAGATTAGTAACACGAAATGATGATAACTAAATAAGCGCCATGCATTTAAACAACTAAAGCCTACTGTTTGTTGGTTCTTTTCGTTCATTTGTTCACAAAATTTTGCAGAAAGCACCACTGTTAAGGGGAAAAAAATATAAAAAAACACAAAGCCACAAGACTAATTTTTATTTCTACTAAATGCGAAGTGCACAGAAAGAAAAAAATAAATAAATGATTAGCTGTATTTATTCAAAAACGGAGTAAAGTATGGAATTCAGAGAGGGGTGGCAGTGTAGGCTACAAATAAAGGAGTTTGGTTTTGCATTAAAGGTTCATTCGGGGGTTGGGGGTCTCGAGAATCCCCATTACGAACCGTAGACGATAGCTAGGTAATGGGTCTCGTTGCTTTCGGTGCAGACATAGCTGCCCTCGTGTCTCTCCAGGGTAGTGGTGGCGATAAGGCTACTGGTTATGTAGCCGTCGACCACTTTGGGCGGCTCGACGTGCATTATACCGCTGGCCAAGTCCTCGACCAGCGGCTGGCCGTTGCGCTTCCACATGATCGTCGCGCTCGCCGGCACTCCGCTGCACGTGATGTTCCAGGGCTGGCCATCCCTGACCAGCGTGTCGCCTACATACTTGACTTCAGTGCGGATTATCGGAGCGGAAGTGAGTGACACAAAGATTAGTTTTGGGTTAGATTTCTATTTTTTCTTGGGTTTTTTTTTTTTTTTTTTTTTTTTTTTCTTTTTTATTAGATTTACAGCCTCAGCCAAGAGAAATTTACATTGCAGTATACGGAGCTTATTTATTACTTTTTTGTTTATCCGAACACTGTACAATGATAAATTTAAAAAAATCAACTCTCGAAAAGCAGCAAATTAGGAAGTGTTAATCATGGCGGCAAAAGTCATCAAAACATTTTCTAGGGAATGAATAACAATTCCGGTGCGCCAACGAGGCGAAAAGTCGTTACAATTCAAATTCGAGCGCGCAAAGGGGAAATAATTGCAACGAGGAGCCGGATCCTTGCGCTACACGGTACATATATTATATATACACACACAGTTCCCGGGCTTAACTTGCATAAAATTTAATTTAATTTTATTATTACGAGCGAAATGGAATACATTAGGTGAGACGAAACTTGGGCTAAACTTTGGCCCCGTAGCCAGCTGCCATCTCTCCACCATGACTAACTCCGCGCTTTCGCGAGGGATAAATTATGCGAGGCAGCACTGCGACCTAGGAAATTGGTAGAAGATTTTTCGGCAAAAAAATAAATAATAGGGACGCGTGGGAGGAGGGAAAATGCCGGGAACGCGTGATCGCACGTTCAGAGGCGCGCAAACTATTTCGAACTCGATTTTCGGAAATTCTTCGAGCCACCGCCGTTGGTTTAACATTTAGCGCTAATTTGATTTTTTCCTTCGAGTTCCCCCGTCACAGCTGCCGCAGTGTTTTTCTCCCCCTCTCGGAACTTGTTAATGACATTAGGGTGGTGCGGAGCTGATCCGGGATGAACCCGACCGGAAAAAACAAGGTAAAGCACTCAAAGCAGCCCGAATTTCTTTACCCTTTGCCGAACATCGGAGGGTGTTTGGCATATTTCTAACGCAGCAGGGGGATGAAAATAAAAAAAAAAAAAAAAAAAAAAAAAAAAAAAAAAAAAAGGGAAAATGGAACGGAGGAAGAAGGGGAGTAGCTTCCCGCGCGGGCATCTGTTTCCGTACCGATGGAAAATTTAATTGGCGACGACACCACCGGCGTCGGACGCGCACCGACGCAATTTTTCCTCCCTCCTCCCGTCCGCACCTTTTCACATCCAATATCGGCCCCCGAGAACAGGAAAAGAGCAATTTGCGGCCTCGTCCCAGCGAAGAATTCTCCCCGCGCTCCCACGTGTATATATACACCCACGGCAAAGGCTGCCTATCTTTTTGTTGTTCCCTCATCTCCCCCCCCCCTTCCGACCTGCTCTTCCTGTCACTCGATGAGAACAGTCGACCTGAATTTTCCCGATACTACGGAAAGGGAGAGCTGCCCCCCCCCCTACGCCGATTAAACATTGTACTCGCTCCATCTATCTCCTTTGTACGAAGATAAACGAGGGTCGAGCTGATAGCGCTCCGTGTTTGCATGTACAGCTGTACGTAGCACCGCGGTCGTGTTATTAAAACGCGATGGCTGCATCAATGTCTGCACTACAATAGCCAAACTCCACGCGACGCAGGTGTATTTCATCCAATTACCAAAAAACGTTACGAGCGTGTTTGCTCCGATCTGCCGTGACTATGAGAGAGTCGGTGTTTGATGATTTGTAAGATCAGAGGCTCTTTTTCGAGATCCGTTAAATTGAATCGTGTTGGCTTTGAGTACACCCTGCGCCTTGATTTTGATTGTGTTGTAAGTTAATTATCCGGCCCCGGAATGAGTTGTTGGAAATTTACACAACGTTATATACCACACGCAGACGTGCGCAAACAGAAGCTTCGAGATGTACACGTTTGTGTGTGTACGCGCACGTACATCCGCCCCGAAGTTTCTCTATTACTACGCGCACTGCCGTACATATACATTTATATGCGCACACGTTGTCTAATTATAGTTCGCGAAAGCGACGTCTGAATTTTGAGCACAGCCCCGAGAGCTAAGTATAGCGCATAAGCGCGCGCCGGACCGTCGGATCAATCTGGACAGGCTCGGGGGAGAAAAAGATGGATTCGCTGAATTTTCGTGTCGCTGGTACAGTCGGTTTTCACGTCCCTGGATTGTATGTACGGAAAACTGCGCGATGAAAAACTCCAAAGGAAAAAATATTCGCTACAACGAAGCCGAGTTTCAGCACGTAACAAAAGAAAGCTCACCTTTTTTAAATAAAAAATAAAAAAATTGTATTTTTTATTTCAACATTTTTGCATAAAGATACTGTTACAGCGCGCATCAAAAGGGCGTCCGTTTGATAGTGGCACTTGAATGTTTGTCGCGACGACTGGTTGTGAGAACGATGTGCTCGCGACAGCAGCTGCTAGAAAATAAACAAAACAATATATACGCGCACACACGCAATTAACCCGTGAACATGTATATAAAACTCATTGAATTAGCCATCCGCCACTTGATTACACTATACACTCGTAAAACAATAGCTCGGCTGTCCGCGGGTCTTAATGGAATTTCTTTACGACCGCAGCTACTTGGGTATACCGAGGCAATAAACAACACTCCCCCGAGCAATATAAAAAGTTTTTTCCTCCTTCCGCGGTGACGCGCGCGCCGGAGGAAAGTATAAAAAGTTTTGCGTCGTATGGGACGGGGGACACATTTGTGCTGCATTTTTGAAAGAAAGAAGAAAGTTTTGCGATACAAGTTGAAGGACGGAGCAAAAGAATACCTCTCTCTCTCGCTGTACGCGTGTTATTTCTTTTTTTTACTCACCGCGTGATTTACGATTAAGTTTTAAAATATGTGTACGCGTAGCTGCAATTTTAATTCGCTCTACTTTTAGGCGCGCGCATCCGTAAAGTTTACCTCGAAGTTTACCCCGCGGCAGTGTGCCAAAATGCTCGTATCGCCTCGAGAGAGAAAGGACATTTTGCCACCCTCCACCCCCTTTTTTCTTTAATTTCCTTTCGCTTCGAAAGCACATAAATTTCCCGCAAAGCTTACCTTACGGGCCCGATTACCCGTCAAACGCCCGATAGAGCTGGTCCCACCTCCTTTTTTGGAGGGTAAGACCCGAGGGACTGCTTTTGCGAGCTCAAACGTGTGACCACCACCCCCCCCGCGCGAGACCACGTAATTTTTCAGGGAGGCACCGCAGTCGTCCTAAGTCAAAGCATTAAATTTCGCTTTTTGTTGGGGTAACTCGCGACATTCCTCTCTGGCCTTTCAACTGCTACCAGCTCAGCTTCAAAGGTCTATACTTATTGTATCCTGTGGGCCTTCCGGATCTCATTAAAATGAATGGCAAAAGCAGCGCTGATTTTTAAGGCGACGTTTTATATTTATGATTCGCGGTGGAAAAGGTCAGATCAGCGGCGCAGAGGTGAAATAAGGTGAGGAGGGTATGATAAAGAAAGGGCGTAGGGATAGGGGCGCAAAGGGGTAAAAAGGAGCAGAAGAGAGAAAAGATGAGTGGGCGGCGGCGCGGATTTCGGGGCGGCAAAAATCTTTGCACGTACATCACGGGAAAGGCAGACCCACCCTTACAAGCTACTCTTGCGGATTTCGGGTAAAAGGAGCTTGTTGGTGCGAGGGAGGGGGAGGGCAAAAAGAAAAATTACGCACATAGGAGGAAGAGAAGAGCTATACAGGGTATATATCGCCAGTCGGACGGCTATGTACAAAAGCGAAGACGACGGAAATTCGGGACACGTCGGCCCGCGGCTTTTCAGCAAAGCGAAAAAACGTGTTCGCCCGAGCGCGCCCGAAAGAGAAAGACCGAATTTGACTCGCAAAGGATGAAACTTTTTCTCCTTTCCCTCCCTTTGCGTGTAGTGTTTCAGAGCCCGCAGGCCGGCAGCTAAGCCGCGTTCTGGTGGTGGTGGTGGTGAAGGTATACGGCTACTTTGCCTACGTTGCAGCCTCACAGCTGAGTAACGGGGTCGCCTCGAATTCGCCTATAAATCTCGGCTAATCCGCGTATCCTCCCGAGAAATATGAGAAGCCGCCGCCACGGTCGTCGCTGGATAAGGAGCGCTAGCCGTCGAATTCTCCTTTTTTTTTTTTTTTCGCTTCGTACCCCTCCCCATCGAGAGCACCGCCGACCCTTTGCTTCGCTTTCTCACGTTTTCTGATTCCTTCGCGCACATGTTCTGCTGGCGCTGCTGAACCCCTTTTTTTTCACCAACCAAGGAGTATCTTATATGTGTTCCAGCCTCTTCCGGTCAAACGCCCGCGTCCGCAGCTAACTTTTTTTTATTTATTTTTTTTATTTTCACCTTTCGGATACGGGCTTGAAAAGTAAGTAGGCAAACTTGCCCCATGTATATATACACGTACTTTTTATAAAATAGCGCGGTGCGCTCGCTGGGGAAATTTATCGCTGCTGAGGTGTAGCAAGTGTGTCTGCGCGCCCAAATATTATCTATTCACCTGCATGACGCTTGTTTTGCTTTGCGTCCCACCGCTTGGGGGCTGCTATACGAGCTTTTCTTGTTACTTCACCGACGCTTGTAAATAAAGTTATTCTTGTTGGTCCACTAAATTGTACAACAAAATGATGCGGCACTTTGCTAATCTTTCGTTTTGATCTTAAAATTATATGGACACGTATGCAGTTTTAACTAAAACTCCATAAAATCTGTAAGAGCTGACAGCTAAGGTAGTAATTCGTGGTAACATCTGATCTCAAGTTTTTTTTGGCTGATTTTGAAAAATTGTTTCGTAACTAATGGGTGGTGTTGTGGACGTTTTGAAATTTTGAAGAATAAAGTTAAATTCTGTTATTTCTTTCGGTTTCGACAGGTTTTATTTGTTAATTTTAGCTTCATTTTATTCCAAGTTTCAAACGTCCACAGTACCATCCATGTGTGATAATAACAATTTTTCAATGTTGACTCACAAATTAAAATACCACGTCGAAGACGATTATTCTAATCTTATAATCCACGCACAAGCTTGAAATCACCTTCTGCGGGA